AAACGAAGAATTCCAAAACATCTGAAAAACATATATGTTATGCATAAGAAGAGACTAAACAACATTTGCCTCAACGTTACATCCAAATTCTTTGCCAAATTTAAAATAAAAATCGAATACTAAAAATAAATAATAATAATGAAAATTAGAAAAAATAAAACGAGAATGAAATTATTGAGTGGGTGAGCACGTTTTTGACACCGCCATCTTTGGCGATTTTTCATTTGTTTTTGGCTGTGACAAATGCTATGAAAATTTATGTATGTGTAGCTTACATAATAGAGAATCTACAAATAAAGTTTGAAAAAATACTAATTTTTTTAATGCCCTGAAATAAAGGAAAAACAAAAAGTGAAAAGAGAGAAAAAACAAATTAGTGAGTGGGCAAGCAAGTTCTGACACCACCATCTTTGACGATTTTTCATTTTTTTGGCTGGAAAAAATGACTTCAAACTTAAGACGCAGATACCTTACATCACAAAGAACTCACAAAAACAGTTTCAGAAAAACAAAATAATGTTTAGGTGCTAAAATATGTTTTTGCCGGGTCCAAACCCCTTCAAGTTCAGGCCCCGTACTACAGGGACCCGAACGCCCAAACGTTTGGGGGCCAGCTTAGGGGCCTCCGTACGTTCGGCACCCTGTATATATATATATGTAACTTATTTTTTGACCCCCCCAAAAAAATCCAAAATATCGGGCCGCAAACTAGGCCTGGCGGCCGAGGCTGCGACCGACTTTTTCGGCCGCGGTGGCCGAATTGCCCGCGGCCTAGGCCGCGGGAGTCACGTAGCCTTGCTCTGCTCCATGTTCTGTGCGATTTGAGTTCTGTCTGCACCCTGTTTGTACAGTATAACTTGGCAGAGCTGCAGTGAAGAGAGGGATATTCGGTGATTCCGTGCAACCACGGAATTGACATACGTTATTTAAACTGAATTCATTTCACTATCAACTTTCTCGTTTGCCTCTATTTTGTTCCTCCTGCAATCTTTGTTCTGGCCTGTGCTCCCCTCTCTTGACTGTTAGGTTCATCATAAAATGTGTACGATTGTCTGTCATTGAGGTTCGTAAAGTCAATTACTGGTGGTGTTCCCTCGTGACTCTCTGGTGATTGCCAGCAAGCAGTAAGCTGGCAGAAATCTTGGATGTGAAGGATGTTCATGTGAAATTCGCGATGTAGTTGTGTTTTTCCCATTGAGAAGAGTCACAGGGTCCATCACTATGCAGGGGATCCGCTTGCTGCTCGGTGTTTGCAGAAATCCATCCTGTTGAGATACCCTTTTTATTAGGGGAAAAAAAAGAGCCTCGGAAAAACAAGTGCACTGAATGTTTCCCAAATCATGTCTGCAATGACCCACATAGTTATAAACTGAGAAATCTGCATTTTCTTTAAAAACGTTCCTCTGTTGAGATTTCCTGGTCTGAGTCTATTGTGCTGTAACAGTTTTTCAACCTTCTCTTGTCATAGTATCAGTTTTCATCGAAGCTCTCATGTCATTGAGCTGATTGCACTGAGGGGTCTTTTTCTCCTCTCTTGTCTTTTTGGCTTCTCTGTTCTGTTCTTTCTTAGTGAGATTTCGCTTAAAGTTTGAGTGTGTCTCACACATGGGATGAGTCGGATGAGTTAATTTCACCTGCTGATGATATCAGTATGATGTGTGCTTGCCTTCATCAAAGTCTGTCTTCCAGTGCCCACTCTTGTTTTTCGTGTTGTGTTTCTATGCCTCCCATAGGGTCGGAGTAGAAAATTGGTGTTTCAGAAACATACTTGAAATTTGGCTACAGAAGGACTTACCGGAAGTTTTAGAAGGCTAGGGATAGGGACAGGAGTAGAATTCGTCAGGAAACCAGTAGGCACAGGAGTAGAATTCGTCAGAAAACCAGTAGAATTAGGGACAGGAGAAGAATTCGTCAGGGAACCAGTAGAGTTTTCCAGCAACTCAGGTACGCTCAGGTCCTCAGGATGGTCCTGTACGGCTTGGGAAAGTTCCGGTAGGGCTGGCCCTGCTGGGTTACATAAGCTGCCTGTGGGCCCTGTGCCCAAAAGGGAAAAAAGAAAGGACCATTTATTGATTTATGTGAGAGGAAGGTTCGGTGATCCTGTAGAAAGAGTCTTGAGATACGGGGAGTGAAAATAAGGGGCCTCCCGGATCATGCATCTGGTAAAAAACAGGGTCAGATCCGTAGTCCAGTAGAAAGAGGCCTGGGGATGTGGGCTGATCCGTGAAGGCACCTGGGACCCATTGGGCCTGGCCTACACATCGCGGCAGTGGCCGCACGGAAGGAAAAAAAAAAAAAAAAAAAAACATGGCCAGCCGCGGCCGTGGCCTAGACA